GGATCAGGTATAAGCTCCCCCTGATTTGGTAGAAGTTTAGTATTGGGATCCATGGGTGTATCAACAGACTTTGAACTCATCAACCCAGTTTCCTCCAAAATATCCATGACATACTTCCTCTGAGATATAACAATACCATCATTGGACTGTGTCACCTCAATACCCAAGAAATATCTAAGTTTGTCAAGATCTTTGGTTTGAAAATGGTGACAAAGATGTTGTTTCAACTAAGAGATGTCATGATTGACACTACCTGTAAGAAAGATGTCATCAACATATACTATCAAGTAAACATATCCAACACTTGAGTGTCGATAAAAGACAGAGTGATCTGCTTCACACCGAGTCATACCAAATTGTTGAACAATCTTGTTAAACTTTCCAAACCAGGCCTTAAGAGACTGTTTTAGGCCATATAGAGATTTGCGAAGACGACATACCATCCCAGAAGACTCCCCCTGAGCAACAAACCCAGGAGGTTGCTCCATATAGATTTCTTCTTGCAAATCACCATTGAGGAAAGCATTTTTAACATATAGTTGATATAACATTTTTAGTAAAAGATGTACCTGTGTGTGCGACAGACATAGTGGAACTAGAAGACTGTTGATCCTTATACCATTTGAGAAATTTGTTGAACATAGCAGGTGTGTCTGATGAAATAGAAGAAGAAGGATCCTTAGTAGATAAAGGTGGGGAAAGATCAGTCTGAGCAACTGCAGCAGATCGAGGAGGACGACCATATAATGCATAACACTTGTCAATCTTGTGGCCTAGCTTGCCACAATGTTCACACTTAGGACGCCCTTTTCCCTGTTTGCGAGGGCGAGTTCGGTCATCACGGTGAGATACCAATGCAGAAGAATCATTAACAGAAGCAGGTGTGTCAGGGTTGGGTTTTGCTGGTATACGCAAAAGAGTGGAGCAGGTCGATGTCAAGGTGGGGACAACCGGATAACCCAAAATCTGATCACAAATATGTGAATATTGATCAACAAGTCCGTGTAATGCCCCTAGCATGAAGAACTTTGATCGTTGTGCTATCTCGGTGGCAGGGTCGGGGGAAGGAGACAATAACTCATTGAACTCATAAAAAAGAGCATGAATTTTGCCCATATAATCAGTCATAGAATCTTGATGTTTAGAGGCAATAACATCTACAAATTTAGAACATACATCATAGAGACGTTGAGTATCATTGGTGTATAATAACTTGACATGTTCCTAGATTTTGGCACATGTTTCGTAGGAACGAAAAATTTATTTTAACAAATGATCAAAAGTACCCTTGAGAACCACACATAATTGAGCATCAATGGTGTCCCAACGGTTTTCTTCACCAGGAGTGAGAGTAGGTGCTTTCGGGGCAAGATGATCAAGATACTTCTGACTCTTAAGCCATAATCTGACGTCTGATGACCATGTGGCATAATTAGGGCCAGTTAATTTGTCAATGGATAAGTTCACATTAACATAGTTAGTGTAGATGGAAGGATCAGACGCAGTACTGACATAATCGGAAGTACTAAAAGGAGCAGAAGAAGTCATAAAGGACGGAGGCGGCGGAGGCGATAGTGACAGCGGCGTGAACCAGTACACCAGGTAAGTTTCCAGGAAAGAGAGGTGGGTCATTAATGGATACGCTTAAATACCAAGTCTTTCCTTATCAGAACCTTCCTAGACATGTACTTTCACACTACCAAATAATATCCAATAACAAAAATAACTTTTTTTCTGATGTGAAAGATCAGTTTAACCGACAGTGATAGCGGCGGTGGTGGCGGCTCCAACAGTGGTCAAAGGCGAAAAAAAATTTCAAAATAACCTTAAGCTCTAGATACCATATTGAATATAGAAGAAATAGAGTTTGAGATTAATCTCCTTTGTGTATAAATCACACATAGGGTAATCTATTTATAATAGAGAGATACAATTAAAAGAGTAACTGAAAGTAACAGAATAAACAAAAGATATTGTTTGATATTGTGGTTAACAATATCTAACAATATCTTAACAATATCAAATAATATCTAAACAATATCTAACAGTAGGAATTGGAAACTTGTCTTTGATGGTGATCTTGTTCAGTGCGCGGTAGTCTACACAAAAGCGCCACAATCTATCTTTTTTTTTTTACCAGTAGCACTGGAGACGAGAAGGAACTTTGGCTAGGACGAATCACCCCTGCTTACAGCATTTCAGACACTAATTTTCCATTTCTGTCTTTTGAAAGTGAGGGTAGCGATAGGGACGAATGTTCGCTGGTATTTCTTCTGGTTGTAAATGTATCGCATGATCAATGGCTCAAGCGGGAGGTAATGTTGATGGAATGACAAATACGTCTTCAAATTCTTGCAACAGGCTTTGGATTTTCGATGGCGATTCAAAGTAATCTTCATAAGTGGGTTCTGGAGTAACAAGTGGAAACAAGACCCAATGTCATCTAATGTTGCCAACCGGTTCACGTCGCATTGTTTCAAGGGCCCGAATGAGGGCTGAGTCCCTTTAAGTTGTATATGCTACTCCTTGGTTACGAAGGTCATGGTGAGTTGTTCATAGTCAATAGTTACGGGTCCTAATGTTCGCATCCATTGTACCCCCAAATCTACGTTAATGACTTCAATCTCCAAGATAAAAAGATTGATAGTGAACTTGTGACCTTGAATCTTGAGAGTGATGTTTTCACATTTGTGATTACACATTAGTTGCTGACCACTGCCCACAAATACCAAAAAAGGTGTGATTCTTAATCGCGGCCACCCCATTCGTTGAGCTATGCTTGGTTTCAAAAAATTGAATGTGCTACCTCCATCTATGAGAATCGATAGTATCTGAGATTGGCATGTAGCCATAATGCGCAGCGTGGATGGATTCCCTTGACCTGTCAAAGCATGCAACGATATTTCGGGAGTCTCGCTAATTGCATGGTCATCTGAAGCTTGAGTCAGTTCCTCCAAAGCCGAGGGATCACTTTCTTCTGATGTAATAAGGAGATAACATTGGGTTTTACATCGGTGCCCCATTGTATATTTTTCGTCACAGTAGTAACACAGACCTTTCTCGCGTCGCACCCTCATTTCTGCATGCAACATCTTTTTGTAGGATTGTTTGGTTGGTGGTACGATTGAGGCATGGGATGACACAGACTGTTGTGTGGGGGTGATATTATGGATTGTTTGTGATGGTTTCAATTGAGATACTGATGGTGCAGTGTGGGTTCTGGTTATTTGGGTGGACCATGATGATGGTCGTGAGTTGGGTGTGGTTGCCATTAGAGTGTCCACATGTGGGTATATGACCTGCGTTTGTGCATGTTTCTGTTCATGGAGCTTTGCAAGACTCACAGCGTGAAGATAGGACTGAGGTTGGGCTATCAGGAGTTCAGATTTAAGATGCTCATGCAACCCAACTATAAAAAACTAGTAATCCAAGATTCAGATAAACCTGTAACCTTGCGCGAGATAGACTCGAACATTGTTTGATATGCTTACACAGTCGTCGTTTGACGCACTTCTTTCATGGCTACCCGATGATCTTCATAAAGACTGACACCGAAACACAATTTGACTACTACTACAAATGCTTCCCCATGTACTAATGAGATCATTATGAATCATCCATTTATACCACGTGTAGGCGGGACCGCTCATGGTCATGAAGGACAATTTTACGCGTTGTTGTGGTGGTGTGTTGTATAGGGAAAATAGTTTTTGAAGTTTAAAGATCCAATCTTTTGCATCACTGTCATCGAAAGGGGGAATGTCCATGCGTCCGGTGATGACTGGACTCGCCAGAATGGATGAATGTGACTGTGGAGTGCCCAATGACTCCGTGTTGCTAACCTAATTGTTACGTTGATTGAATAACTCACGAATATGTTGCAGAGACTCATCAATCTGCAAGAGTCGTCGGTCATTTTGCTCTAGAAGCGTCTCGAGTTTGGTATCCAAATTACAAACTTGTTCGTCCAATCTTGCAGAACGTGTTCCCTCCGCCATAAATCGTTCAACGAAAGGAATCAATGAAAACACCAATTGATACATACGGGAAAAGAGAATGAAAAAAAGAAAACAAAAACGTTTGGAGGATTATCACTCCAGGAGAACACTAATGATATTAATTTTCCCTTGCTATACATTGCTATCTCACCATCTTTTATACTTATTCCACACAATTAACTACTAACCGTTTCTGACTTCTTTTAATACTAACCAATCTGACCCTATTAAAAAAACGTTAATACATTCATATCATATATCCTGCAAATATTTTCCAACCCAACTAACATTATTATTATTATTATTATTATTATTATTATTATTATTATTATTATTATTATTATTATTATTATTATTATTATTATTTTTCTTTTAAAATAACATTAGACATACAAGTCTCATAATCATCTCTAACTTTGTATAGGAAACATAATACCTATGTTTGTAAATTATATATTAAAAAAAACTAAGGAATTTTACTTTTCTGAAAAGTATAAATAATACTTTTATGTAAAAATATTTATTATACTATTATTAGATATTAATTTAATAAAAAATAAAAAAACTATATTTTTTAAAAGTTAACATGTATAAAAAAACTTATTAATTGACAAAATTTTGAATTAGTTTGATATATGCTATCGTTCAAATTACCTAACTAACAAATTTGAAACATTTATATTTCAAACAAAGATTTTATTAAATTTAAATAAGTTAAAATAAAATTTTAAAATGCTTTTAATCTTTTATAATAATTTTTTACTTTAAATAAATTTTTATATTATTGTTAAGATATAAGAGTATCATTATATATTATATTATTATAAAATATAATTTTATTAATACATAAATTAAATTATAACTTAATAATAATAATAATAATAATAATAATAATAATAATAATAATAATATATATAGATATATTTTTACTTACCCATTCTTATTCTCAAATGGTCATCCTCAGTTAGGGTTTGCATCCTCCTGAAGCTCCAATAGCAGAGAATGGGGCACAGAGAGAAGAGGAATGCGCGAGTAGCAGAGAATGGGGTACAAAGAGAAGCCGGACGCGCGAAGGAACTAAAGGAGCACATCGAAGACGATTTAAGCGGCACTTGCACGCCGTCACTTGTCTTCAGCAGTGACGACGACGAGGAAGCCAACCAAGATCTCAGCCTTAAGATTGTCGAGAAAGCCATGCGAATGCGAGCAGCCAAGCATGCGACCCTAAAAGACGGCGTTTCGTCCTCGCAAACACCCGAACCTGTGACCCAAAACAACAGCGTTTCGGATGCGCCCAGCGCAATAGGCGATTCTGAAGTGATGGAGAAGAAGAAAACAATTAAGTTGATGGTTGAGGCTGGGGATCGAAGTGTGAGTGTTATTTCCTGTTTGGCTCATCCATTTTTGGATAAGAAAACCTCTTTTTCTTACTCTATTTTATGTTATTTTATGTCGAGTTGAACTTCCTTTGGGTTAATATAGACGGACCCATAAATTCCCTTATGGTTACAACATTGTTTTATTGTAATAGTTTCTGATTAAATTGAAATATGAAACAACTGATTAAGTGGAACACATTTTTTATTTTATTTGAACAATTACAAGAAAAAGTATTTAATTAGATGTATTGTTAATCTATTTACTTGAAAAAAAGTTTTAAATTGCGGTTGCAGCTTTGACACTGATCTTGTAATGTGGGAAATTGTGGCAAATGCGTTCACAAAACTGTGGTCGCGGGTGGAGCCTCAGAAACCTTGATAATGTAGACAAACTTGTGGTTGCGGACCCATTTTTGAAACCTTGCCTAAAGTATATTGTTCTTATGAAATAGAATCAAATTTTTATTCCCCAAATGATAATCACGTTTATGCTACTCTTTGGTCGGAAAAATCACTTTTTATGTTCTGTTTTCTGTAGGTTCTTATAACTGAAGAACCAGAGATGAAAGAGACAGTCAAGGCTATTGAGAATCATGAGTATGCGGAAGGAAGTGCAGTTCCGACAGGCGACAATATGGTTCTACGAAAGTTGCTTGTGAGATGAAATATTTTATATGAAATGTCCTTTTGAAAATACTAGTGTGCATGAGCTATGGGTAATTGGATATATCATATCTCTGTTTTTGTTCCATCAGCGGGGTCCAAGGTATTTTGATCCACCTGATAGTAGTTGGGGAGCATGTTTCAATTGTGGCGAGGAAGGTCATGCAGCTGTGAACTGTTCAGTGGCGAAGCGGAAGAAGCCATGCTATGTTTGTGGTGGTGTGGGACACAATGCAAAACGATGCACTAAAGTATGTCTTATTGCCAATATTCCATCTTCTTACTGGTATAGGAACGTTATTGAGATTTTTGTTATGCTCCTGCAGGCACAAGATTGCTTTATCTGTAAGAAAGGTGGTCACCGTGCTAAAGACTGTCAGGAGAAGCACACAAATACTCCTAAAAGCATTGCAATTTGTTTAAAGTGTGGAAATTCTGGGCATGATATGTTTGGATGCAGGAATGATTATTCACTGGATGATCTCGAGGTTGTTCTGTTCTTTGTGCTTATCTTTTACTGGAAAATTTGGGAAATGTCTTTGCTGAATTTGCTTAAAACATAGTGATTTGCATTGTATGTGAATTGCTAAGTCACTGATTGTTTGCCTGTTAAAGTAGGAAATTCAATGTTATGTCTGCAAGAGACTTGGTCATTTGTGCTGTGTCAATTCCGATGATGCAACAGCAGGAGAAATTTCTTGTTACAAATGTGGTCGGTTAGGTCATACAGGTTTGGTAAGTTATATTTAATAACTTATTGGTGTTGTATTGCGTTATGTAGCCCTCATTCATAGTCTAGGCTACTCTTCCTGTGTGACTCTCTCTTAATAGGGTGGAATTTGTTTGATTGTTTATTTCTTTTTGATTGTGTCATCTTTTTCTTATTCGACCTACTAGAATATTTGCTGGATTATTTGTTTTTAGTGGAAATAAATGTGCATAAAATAAAAAAGAAAGTTAAAATGGCCTGAAAATATTTCAATCATTATTTCTGAGTTTTGTTGTTAACATGTATGCAATGAAGATCTGTTCACCAAAAGACACTACATGAATAATGGCCTTTTTGAACTTCCTTAATTCCCTGCAAAATCTGCAGTTTTGCTTGCGTTCTTTTAATAGCAATTCTCATGCCTAGGTATCGGAAGAGGACCCAAGTCTAAAACTAAAGCACTAGGTATATGATTTTTGAATATAAGATATGAAAGATTAGAAAAAAGCAGCCACAAGATTTGCAATTAGATATTTACTAAAATAAAAAGATGGAACATTACACACTCATACCTAGCCTATGCATGTGCTCCTTGTAATCACCATAAAATATACTATTCTGATATTTACTAAACAGTGGAGTCTAAAGAATAGGTCCAAAAATAACACGCTTCAAGGTATTAATTTTCAGTTACTTCCAAGATTATTGACAGGAAGTAGGAACTTCTTTTACCTTTGTTTTGATGGTACTAATGGTTACTGATTTTCATCAACCTTCTCTAAAGATCTATGGTGGAATAGCTTTATCAAACAACGGTTAAATCTACCTGACTGCCATTTTGAAGAGCATTTAGGGGATTATTGTTAGTAGCTGATGCATTTTTCTGCTCTCTTACTAAAACTGTCATATTTAATTTTTGAACATTAAAGATTTTCTGGTCTTGGAACTGAAGGTTAGGGCTAGCATATATAAGTTTAGGTGTTAATCAATGCAGGCATGTTCAAGGTTGCGGGATGAGATTGCAAATGGAGCCATGCCTAGTTCATGCTACAAATGTGGTGAAGGAGGGCATTTTGCTCGGGAGTGCACAAGTTCTCTTAAGGTACATTTCAGGATATTTTTTGACCCACTCTTGTTATTTTAATTATTACAACGCATTTCTTTTTATTGTTGGTCTCAGATTCTTTTGGCTTAGAGTAAGTAGTTTTTCGGCTCCTGTGTTACATCAAACTATATTTAAATCTACAGTTTTCTGAATGTCATTTTGAAGAATATTTAGGGGATTTTTGTTATCAACTCAATGCATTTTTCTGTTGTCTTATGTAAACTGTCACTTTTTTTCTTTAAACATTAATGGATTTTCAGGCCTTGAAACTTAAGATTAGAGTTAGCTATATAAATTTTTAAATGTTAATTGATGCAGGCATGTTCAAGTTCGTGGGATGATATTGGAAATGGAGCCACAGCTAGTGCATGCTTCAAATGTGGCGAAGAAGGCCATTTTGCCAGGGAGTGCACAAGTTCTATTAAGGTATATTTCAGGATATTTATTGACCTACTATTGTTACTTTTTTGTATACAGTTTTTAAAAAACCAGTTTTTAGTTTTTAAAAACTAAAAAAATTTGTTTGATAATTATTTTGTTAACACAGTTTTTAAAACTGTTTTTGTTTAAAAAAAACTGATAAAAGGTGTTTTAGATTTCTGTTTTTATGAATGGGGTATCAACGTTTTCATCAATAATTACATTAAATAATTTATTGTCATTATTTTAAAGTTATCAAAATCTTTTTTTCAGATTTCGTTATGACCTTTTATGGTCATCTACTTTATTTTCTGTCTAAAATAATTTTAAAAATAGATATATCAAACAAGTTTTTTTCCCTTATTTTCAAAAACAGTTTTTTAAAATTGATTTTAAAAACTAAAAAACAAAACTAAACCAATCAAGCCCTAAGATATTACATCTGTTTAACCCTTTCGTTTTATTATTGGTCTGAGTTTCTTGTGGCTTAGATTAAGTTTTTTGGCTGCTGTGCTTTCCTCCACAGGCAGGGAAGAGGAATCGTAACTCATCACGCACGAACGATAAAAGATCCCATAGAGAAAATGATTACATGGGAAATAAATCAGCCCCTAATGATATGGGTGTAGCTCGTAAAAAGAAACGGTCTCTTAAAGAAGATAGAGGAGGCTTTTCTACTCCCAAGAAAACAAAGAGTCGAGGTGGCTGGATGGAGGATCATCTTACTGAAGAAAGGGGCTTTTCATCTCCAAAGATATCCAAGAGTAGAGGTGGCTGGACAACGGAGCATCCTTTGGAACCAAAAGGCTATACAACTCCCAAGAAATCCAAGAGTAGTAGAGGTGGCTGGACGACAGAGCATCCTAAAGAATTCCTTCTTCCCATGGCCACAAGGAACAGTCATAGAATTTCAGGGACACCATCTTCCAGAAGCACTAAAATTCATTCCTTTGGTAGTGGAAGTCATACTCCAAGTTATAAATCTTCCCAGGTATGGAATGGTCATGATGGAACCCCTATGTCCCTACGTTCCGCCTGGTCAAATCGTCATAGATTTTCAGCATCAAGGTTTGACAACTCTAGTAGTGAGGGGAATGGTAGGAATTACTCCCGGTGGTAGTGATCGTGCATACTGGATTATGTTCTCTACCATTCCTTTTGTAAACTTGTAAAACATCATCCACATGTTTTCTTAATATTTAATTTTCGTTTTAGTAAGCCATTCAAGGATAGTATCATTATTGTTTCACATTTTGTGGATGTGTTAAGGTTGTCCAACCAGTTGAACTTTATTTTTGTTTCAGTCAAGGGGAACAATATATTATGATTTGAACATACCTTTTGACTCTTAAGACCAAGCATTGACAATAAACTTTTATTTACACAAGCTAATTCCAGCAACATGTCGTATATTTAACCAATTCGATGGCAATTTCAGGCGTTTGATAGGGTGCTTGCAATTGTTTTGGAAGTCATGCTAAAAGCCTTTATCAATGAATTAACATTCATTGGTAAATATTAGCGTCAAGAATTTGTAAAAGAACCAGTAATACAAGAAACAGAGAGTGCACGAGTTACATATATAACAAATTCCACTCAAAGAGAACAAATAGATAACCACCGAACTTGTCTTTGGAGCTAAGTTACCTATCTTTGTCATGGGAGGGGTTATGATATGTTATCAACCCATTTTTCTCAAAGATCCATCCAACAATCAGTTTTAGATTTTTTTTTATATTAAAATATTGTTTATAGATTTTTATATATTTAAAGATTGTTTATTGGATGTTTGAAAAAATGAGGTGTTAAAAAATCTTTTCTCTTATGAAAATCAAACTTATGGAATAGAATTCCGTTACAGTTTATTCAAGTTTCTTAAACATGAACTGTTGCATACGATCATCAGCCTCTTAATAATACAATAAATTCTTTGCCTATGTAGCTATTAATCCTTTGTAATATTTTAGTAACATGATTGTTAAATGACTTGTTGATTTGCTCTTAATGGGCCTATATTGATCATTTTCTAAAATTTTCCATTCAATTATGTCTTGCTAAATAACATTTGTATTAGGAGATTACATTTGTTTTTCTCGAAAATTACAACAATTGAATTTGGGTTATTATGTTCTAAGAAAAGGATTATCACTGAATAAGAATTCAGTTTTGGTTGGTTGTTATGTAGTCAGAAGGATAATCATTGAAGAATAAGACTTTATATATATATATATATATATATATATTCTTCTAACGTTGCTTACTGCTATCGGGTATGAACTTATAAATTCCCCTCTCAGTGGCAAGAGTGAGTAGATGACAGAAGTTATTTCATTCCAATGTTTCCTTTCGTTCTTCTGGAAAGGGTTTGATCGGATAGGATTTTAAAAAAAAGGCTTCAAGCTCAAGTGCAAGCTGAGTAGTCAACTTGTTCAGCTTTACTGCAAGTCTACAGAAAGGGAAGGGGCGAAGTCCACTCGCTTTTACATCACAACAATATTCGTTAAGTTTGCCCATTACGGATCTTTCTCACCGCTGCTATCAATAAGAAGTAGCCTATTCTCTGGGTACACACCTTTTATCAAAAATACTCACTCCATAAATGTTTACAAAATTTTATTTCTCTTTTTTTTATCACTTTTCATATTTATATTTTTTTAAAATAAATATCTAGATATCATTAATAATTTTAATTATATATATATATATATATATATATATATATATATATATATATATATATATATATATATATATATATGATATTTTAATATTTATTATTAGAATTGGACGATCTAGAATTACCAATATATAAAGATATTGAATATCATTCTTAAACATTTGTAATTTGAATTGTTGAAATTTAAAATAATCTTGTGGTAAGCGACCTTTTGATCTGTTTAAAGTCTAAATGAATGATATCATTATGATATAAAATTTGTTTAATTGATTTGTAAAGACACTGTCATTTGTAAAAATATTCTAAGCTTTTATTTCAGAAAGTGTTATAGGATTTAAACAATGTAATAGTAATTTTTGGTTCTACAAAACACGATAATTAGTTTGTTTCCATTTTTTAACTTTATTAAATGACACATTATTCTTGTCTTATTCAATGTGATAGTAGAAATCTTGATCAAAAAACAGACTAAAAAATATAATTTTTCTCATTCAATTTTTAGGGATGCTTCGATGAGGAGAGGGTGGTTCGTGGACAACACACCTGAAGCAACAACAAAAGAGTTTGGGCACGTGGAGGCGTGTAGTGGAGAATCTTGATCCAGGACCAACATGGTTGGTGATTAGTGACGATATATATAATGAACTTAAAAGAGAAAATATATTTTAGAGGGTATACTCATAGAATGAACTTATATTTATAATGTTACAAATTTGATGCAGTGAGTAGAGCGAAGGTTAAATATCAAAAACTTGCACTAGGGATCTAGGTAAAAAATAGATACAAATTTATAATTATTACACGAAGCATAAGGCCACCCTATCTATACTTAATACCTATTCTAACTAATTTTCTTAGTTAAATTAGATTAGATTAAACACATATAAGATAGTAATGTAGTGTATCCTAATAATTGTTATTAAACTTATATATTTAGACCATTGATGAATTCAACATCTTGTTTGAAGGGTGTGCCTGGAATTTAGATAGTGAAATTTGAGTACTTGCCACTTGGAGATAGTGTGACCTAGGTCCAAAAATGTGACCCAAATTGAGGCCCAATTATGACTCTACTAAACTCTAAAATTACTAAAAGAAATAAAGGTCTATACAACTTTTGTAGTATTTTTATAGTACTAAGAAGATAGGGAAAAAAATATCTTAATATTGTATGCTCTAATACAAGAAAGTCTTTTGAGAGACTTCTTTTTCTATCCTTTTTAGCCTTGACCCTGGTTAAAAGTCTAATGTGTGTCTTCTCAGATGGTTTTCCATTGGGTTCACAAATGTATATATGGATTGATAATAACAGATATTTCACTATCCATTATTTGTTAGTTGAAAATGGTAATTTGTGTTACTATTTGAGAAGATATCCTTAACAAGCTTTCTTATTTTTTTTCAATTTTTTTTTCAAGTTAGGGAGACCTTGTAACGTGTCAACAGAAAAGATAGCCACCAAGATAAAGAGAAATCTCTATTTCATTAATAATATTGGGTGTATCGGAAGCCATACAAAATTAGAAATGGAGCAAGAAATAGTATGCATAACAATGAAGAAGAGGCTAAAGGAGAATAGAGAATAGTAAAGTATAGAAGAGGAGTTGACATCCACACAAGACAATTACAACTGACTCTATATAAAACACATATTATAGTTACTAATTATTAACCAATCTCTTTTCCCGCATCATTGATCAATAACTTCCAAGTTTTGCACTTCTAACGTTTACTACGCCTGAGTTCAACTTTGCTCCCACTTGCAGTACTCGTAGTTACTGCATAATCCATATTAATACTCCCTTCGTAAAATTGGCCTTCAAATGAAGGAAACTCCATTTGGATGAAGGAAACAAATTCCCATGTGTTGTCAGCCTTAGACAAATTGAACCATTGAATTAAAAGTTGATCGTTCCAATGACCCTGTTGCTATATACGATGTGAATCAAGAATTTTGACAAGATGCAAAGTAATATTATCCTTTTCATAATGCAGAGACAGTAAAAATACCGCTTTAAAGGATCACCATTGCACTTCTTAAGTAGGGAAACATGAAAGACATAATGAATATGTGTTGTAGGACTAGGAGGTAATAACAATTTATATGCTATCTTACCAATTTTTGATGACCGTGTGCATGTAACGTAATTTTTGTGGAGGTTAACATAAACCAAGTCACCCACAAGAAGTTGTTTTATTCGATTTTGAGCATGACCAAAGTTAGCTTTAAGAGTTATTAAATTTATATCACGATGCTGTAACAGTTGATCAACCTCTGGAACAATTTGTAGAATCTTGAATCAAAGAAGGTGGATGATGTTCATAAACAATTTGAAATGGTGCCATGACTGTAGAAGTTTGATAAGATGTATTATACCAAAACTTTGTCCATTGTAAGAACTGAACCAACCTCGTGGTTGATCAAAGACAAAACAGTGAAGGTACACCTTAATGCAACGATTAAAAGCTTCTAGTGCTCATGGCTAATATAGTCCCCTGTCATTTAAATAAATGTTGCCAAAAGTTGCTAGTGAAAGTTTTATCATGATTCGAAACAATAAATTTAGGAATACCATATAATTTCACCACCTGTTATATGAATTGGTTAGCCGCTGTAGAACTTGTAAAATCAGTTTTCAAGGAATTCAAATGTGTATATTTGGACAACCTATCAATGACATCATGATTACTGTATATCCATTCACTGCTGGAAGTCCTGTAATAAAATCATTGGAATATTATCTCAAATTTTATCTAGAATAGGCAGTGGATGAAATAACCCAACAAGTAAAGAGTGAGAAACTTTTGCTTGCTGACCAATTTGGCATTGCCTAACATAATCATAAACTTGGTTTTTCATCCCTTGCCAAAAAAATTGAGGAGGAAGGTAAGAACCAAACGTGACCTCAAATTATAGAATCATGAAATTATTGAATTAACTTCAAGGTAAGGGGGGACTATTTTGGCACTACCAACCTATCATTCCAATGTAGAAGACCATTTTGTTCTATGAAATAAGGAAAAGTTTGGCCAACACGCATACCTAAAAGGAAAAAACTACATTTTGGATCATTATCAATATGCGCCTTCAACGTAGAAATAAGATCACAATATTGTGTAGATAAGGTAAAATAGTCAATATGCAATAAAATATCGACCTCGACATTTTGCTTATCATGCTTATATTCAGTAACAAAGTCAAAACCCATAAGCTTGTGCATCCACTGGTGGTGCTCCGGTGTTTGTAGGGTCTAATCCATTAAAGGGCGCAAACTTTTATGATCGGTACGGATGGGCGCAAACAAGTAATGAGGAAACTTAGTGACCACTTCTCTTCTTGCTACCATCTCACAAAGATAAACTTTAGATTGTAATTTATTAGAAAGCTTCTTAAAGAAAAAAAACATAGGATGTCCTTGCTGACTCAATATAGCACCAATTCCTGTATTAGAGAGGCATTCATTTCTAATTCAAATGGGGTTGAGAAATTAGGAAGAATGAGAACATGAACTTGTGTGGTAACAATTTTTAGATTGTCAAAAGCAGCTTGAGTTGTAGTAGATCAAAGAAAAGAATCACTTTTCAATAATTCATGAAAAGGAGAGGCTAACAAAGCATATTCTTTAATGAAACGACAATAATAATTGGTGAGACCAAGAAAACCAAGAAGCTTCTTAAGAGTAGTTGGAGTTGACCACTTGAGAATCGATTCAATCTTCTTAGGATCCATATATACGCTAGAAGAGGAAACCATATGATCCAAATAAGCAATCTATTGTGTACTAAAAGCACATTTTGACAACTTAGCATGAAGTTTATGCTCCTACATAATAGATAATACATTCTCTAGGTTTAAATGATCAGACCAAGAAGCAATGTAAATTAATATATCATCGCAAAACACCAAAACGAACTTGCATAAGAAATTCTTAAATATTTGATTCATAAGAGGTTGAAAAGATGATGAAGCATTTGGATATCGATTGAACGGATTTCAATAAAGATCTAATCTTAAGCCCTAAACTAGATTTACAACACAAAGATATACGATCAAAGAAAATGGAAACGAACTACTAGGATAAAAAGCTGGGTTTATTTACATGGATGCCTTCAAAGTGGGCATACCTTTTAACTGGTAAAGGTCGACTTATTTTTTGTCACCTTGTAAATTTCTTATTGGCTACTGCAGTACAAGATCAGTGTTCTTGTTACGGCTGCTTGTGACACATTCCGATGAGGGGCTGCTCAGCAGCGGACCCATGCTCTGAGAATTCATGTTTACATTGGTTTTTTCCTAAAGGATTAGTGTAGTTGTTTTACCTCCTTGTTCTTACATTCTTGCGGTTGAGGCAAAAGAACCAATTCAATAAGTTTCAAGCAAATTTATTACTAATATAAAGATTTTAAATATATTACTATTAATATTAGCCTTTGAGGATATGCTCAAGAATTAGATTCAAAGAATAATCCCAATTGAATCACTAGTCCCTAACCTCTTTTCCTGCTATTCTAGCTTCCCAATCTATCGCATGTACTCAATCACTTTAATTTATACATCAAACTAATACATTCTACTCTATAAGATAAAATCATCTTCACCCTATAGAAGCTTATGATTTGAACTTTCAATAGTCAATACGGAAAAGGTGAAAACAGAATATTGAAACAACAAAGAACACGACTCACACTTTAATGGGCCTGAACTTCTTAGAGCTATGATTTCCCTTAGATACATCTAAGTTCTCCAGTCTTGGTAATCTCTTTGATATAAATGCAGCTTCCTCTCTTCTTCCCCCTTCCTCTAAAGCAGCTATTAGATCATTTAGGCATGTCAATTCCTGACATAAACCGTTCTCCACCAATTCATAGCATAAACCAAATGCTTCCGAGACCTTGTTAGTTTTACAAAGATTCAGAACAATTGCATTACACAAATCAATATCGACATTCTGATGAATTTCTAAACTAAAAAGCAACAGTTTGCATGCTTCTGATAGCTTTCCTCTCTCATAAAGAAATTGAGCTACTTCTTCAATTTTAACACGGTATCCATTCTTATAAAGCAAATCAATAATCTCAAATGCTCTTTTTTGCTGTCCACATCCAAAAAGTAGCTGTAAATTCTGTTGAACATTCAAGGACTTGATGTTGCAAATAATGATCATGAAGAATGTTGATTTTGATGATGATCCAAGAGCTTAAAGACTTAGAGTATTGAAGATTGAAGATTGATGATTTCTGTATTGTAATAACTCTGTTTTAGTTTGATTGAGTCTGTAATTATAGAGTCTAAGATAGCCGGTACATAGTCTATAACTTAGAAGCTTCAAAATGCTCAAATTTATCATGCAGGCTCGGCTTTAATCGATTATATAGGAAATAATCGATTAAAACAGTGAGAAAACCATTTTCAAGCATATACTCACTGTTTTAATCGATTAAAACATCAAAATAATCGATTAAAAGGTCAAATAATCGATTATTTCACCAAATAATCGATTAAACCGAGAGGATTGGGTTCTGCGTATTTGGCTCTGTTTTAATCGATTAAAACTCCATTTAATCGATTATTTCAATCTGTTTTTGTTTTTAAATTTCAAATTAACCCCATTTTCGAAAACCCAATTACCAAGAACCCTAGTTTCGAAATCCCCAATTCCTTAACCCTAATTTCCCTACTTAAACTCTGCTTTGGCACTCGGAAAAATAAGAACAACTCTTTCCATACAAAAGTTAAGTGCTGTGAGTGCCGGAGAACTGTTTGTTGCAAGGAAAGGGGGCTTTCGAACCTGGTGTGAGGCTAGAAGCGATAAGAATCACTAAGTGGAGTTCTTAGTGGATTGTGTGCTTGTGCCGTCTCTGGGGAAAGCTGTTCTTCGGGGCTTTTGGAAACCTGGTGTGAGGCTAGAAGCGATAAGAATCACTAAGTGGAGTTCTTAGTGGATTGTGTGCTCGTGCCGTCTCCAGGGAAAGTCGTTGATCATCTCTTGTGGATTTCAAGAGAGGTGTATTCTTTACTTTATCTCTTTGATTTGTAATCTGTTTTAACAATTTGTTCTTAGTGACAGCGTTAATCCTCTTTTGAGTGATTAGCAACTGGACGTAGGGTCTTTTGATCCGAACCAGTATAAACCTACTGTGTAATCTTCTCTACTCTTCTCTATTTACATTTACGCAGTTTTTAATCGGTAAAATTTGGGGAAATTTTGAAAACCTAATTTTTATTAAGAAACCAATTCACCCCCCCTCTTGGTTTTTGTCCGACCACGCGAACATTCCGCTGCGCGATTCTAACAAAGTTGAGAGATTTATATTCTGTCTAACATTTTTATCCAGCATCATCATAATAACCCAGGCAGACTCATGAGCACAACCTTTTTCCAAAAGTTTTGCCAGTACAGAATGCCAAGTGAATGTTTTAGGTTGATAGGAGCTCTTAAGCATTTTCTCTAGTGTCTCCTTTGCAAGTAGAGGCTTATCCTTTAAAAGAAAACCATCAATCAAACAATCATAAATATCAACATCAGGAAGAAAGTCTCTTCTAAGCATCCACATCAAAAGCTCATATCCACTTTCATATGCACCTTCTTTACAATGCCCCATAATCAATGTATTGTACGATTGGGGATCTTGTGTGCCCCTTTTCATTAACTGTCTAATCACCCTCTCGGCCTTCTTAGTCTTCCCATGTTCACACAAATGCTGAAATAAGGGACTATAAGCAGCAACAAGTGGCCTGGAGCCAAAATTACTTAAAAGGATTTCCTTCTCAAACAACTCATCAAACAACACCTCTGCCATATCATAGTCCCCTTTCGACACAAACTACGTATCGAGTGCTATACTGAAGCTCGAATCCATGGGGACCTGAAATTTTTTCATGCTTTCAAACACCTTCAATGCTTCATCCAGATTTCCTGCACAACAATGCGAATGAATAATCGTATTAAAGGTAAATGTATCAGGGCTAAAACCCCCATTGCCTTTCATCCGTTCCAAAAGATCTTTCATCTTGTCCAACTTGTGTGTCTCACAAAGCCCTTTTATCAAAGTATTATAGGTAACCATGTTCGGCTCAATGCCCCGGCTACTCATCTCTTCAAGAACAATCAATGCCTCATCTAGTTCTAGCTTCATACAATATCCTCGAATCAATGTAGTATAAGTAACAACATCAGGATGCAAACCCTCACATTTCTTGCTCATACCATTCACTAAATTCTGAGCAATTCTGACCTTCCCCGCTCTACACAAACCATCAACAAGTGTGTTATACGTGACAACATCCGGATCACAATTAAACCCGGCCATCTCATTAAAAAACCGAAACCCTTCATCAACCATTAAGTTTTTGCAAAACCCTCCGATCAAAACATTGTATGTACAAGTGTCCGGAGTAACACCATACGTGCGAAGCATTTCATCATACACCTCTTTGGCCATATTGGTGCGACCCCTTCTGAGCAAAATAGACAAAACAAGTGTTGAAAGTAACCACGGAGGGGGACACAAGCAATGGACTTCATGGTCTCGAAAAAGCTTCATGGACTCTTTAAAGAGGCTCGCTTCCGCGTAGCTTCGATGAGGGTATTGAAGAACCTCGTCCTCAAGCTTAACGGCTCTGTTGGACTTTTTCTCGATAGAAAATAGCAATTTTCGGGCAACGTTGAGGTTCCTCTCGCGACCCAGAATTTGTAGCATGATGAAGTAGGATCTGAACTGTGTGGGGAAAACCCTTTTGCTGGGCCCACTTGAAGAAACGAAGGGCCTTGGAAGGGTCCTTGATGAGGCGAAGTGTTCCGAGCACAGCTCATTTTGGAAAGTGGGGTGGGCAGAGGAGAGACCAACGCATTCGACCATGGTTTGGAATTGATAAGATTGGCCAAGGTTTTGGCGGTTTTACTTGTGTTTCGTGATTTGAGTCTTGCAGTTTGGGTTTTTGGGTGATCGTAACAAAAGTACCCGAATCTTAAGAATCGGAATCGATGATCGAGGAAAAAAAGAAAAGAAAAGGGGGCATAAGAAAAGAAAAAAGAATTCCAAGAAATGCACCTAAGGTGGGAATTGAAGGTGGAGATGGAAATGGAACTGAGATTTGAAGATAGTTGTTGTTGCGACGACGAGAGACTACGAGAAACCATGTTGAAGCCGTGAATTCGATAGTCCAGCCTCCATCTCGCTTTTTATTCAAAATACATATATTTCTCTTAGGAAACTTCTATCATACGAAATTTTTTCTACATTATCACCAATTCGTTTTTTTTAATTACTCATTGTAAGTTTTATTTACCTAAATAGTATAATTTTTTTTTTAAGTTAAAAATTCAATTTTCTCGGAAAATGAAATCTAAACGTAATTATATTTTATAATTTTTTCAAACAATTTAGAATTCGATTTTTCAACAACCAAATTTTGAATAGTTTTCTTTTTATTTTATTAAAAAAAACTAACTAAAATATATATATACATATATAATATATAATATGTTATAATATTTTATTTAATATTTATAATTTTAAATTAAATATTTAAAAAGATTTGTATATTTCTAAAATTAATAATATATTTAGATTTATTATTGAAAATAGTAAAATAATATTTTTAAAATATATTATTGAATATTATATTTAAAATTATTTGTATGATTAAAATTTTTTTATTTTTTGATTTCTTTAATATTATAATTTTTTTAGAAATTAATAATAAATTAGGAAGATAATAAAAATCTTAAAAATTATATGTATATAAGAAGAAATAATATTTTGATGTAAAATTATATATATATATATATATATATATATATATTTTAAAATATAATTTATATTAATTACTTTAATATAAAATATATATTCCAAAATATGACTTATTTTCATATATATATATATATATATATATATATATATATATATTATAAAAATTAAAATAAATTATATTTTAAAAAATATATATATTAAATATAAATTATTTTCAAGTTGAGAATTATTATTCTAATTTATGAAATATATATATATATATATATATATATATAATTAATTAATTTAAAGTTTTTAATTTAAGTAATATATCTATATATAATTATAATTTATATAATATATATAATTTATTTCACATTAATTTTATAGTTATAATTTTTTTAAGTTATAATTATAAATATGATTTTTTAATTATATAATTATAATTTTTATTAATAAGAAAAATAATTATTTTTTATGTTAAATAAAATATATATATATAACATAAATTAAAATTACATATATTAATTTCAAATTAATTATTATTATATAACATTAAAAATAGTTATATTTTTATTAATTTTATAATCATAATTTTTTTAAGGTTATAATTTTAAATATAATTTTCTTAACTTTATATTTATAATTTATATAATATATATAATTTAAAAATAATTTTTTTTTTAATTTTAATTTCATATATATTTTATTTATAATTATTTAATATATATTTAAAAAACTAATAGATTATTTAAAAATTAATCAATTATTTTAAAAAATAATTGGTTTTCATAAAAAACTAATCAATTATAGTTAAAAAAATATATATTTATATATTTACATATATATATATATATATTTTATATTATAGAAATAAAAATAAGTTATATTTTGGAGATATATATATATATATATATATATATATATATATATATTAAAATATAATTTATTTTTAAATTGATAATTTTTATTTTTATTTATGTAAATTTTATATATAAAATTAATTTAGAGTTCATATATGTAATTTTAATTTATGTAATATATATATATATATATATATATATATATAATTTATATAATATATATAATTTATTTAACAGTAAAAATAGTTATATTTTTATTAATTATATCATTATAATTTTTTTAAGGTTATAATTGTAAATATAATTTTCTTAACTTTATATTTATAATTTATATAATATATATAATTTATATGATATATATAATTTAAAAATAATTTTTTTATTTCTTTTAAGTTGATATATTTTTTTATTTATAATTATTTAATATATATTTGAAAAACTAATTGATTATTTTAAAATTAATTAATTATTTAAAAAAATAACTGATTCTTATCAAATATGAAAAAATCAAGTATCAAAAAACTAATCAATCACTTTTTGAAATAATCGATTAGTTTTTTAAATAGTTAAAATATATATATATATATATATATATATATATATATTATTTTTAAGTTGATAATTTTTATTTTTATTTATGTAAATTTTATATATAAAATTTATTTAGAGTTTATATTTGTAATTTTAATTTATGTATATATATATATATACATATATATATATATATAATTTATATAATATATATAATTTATTTAACATTAAAAATAGTTAAAATTTTATTAATTTTATAATTATAATTTTTTTAAGGTTATAATTTTAAAAATAATTTTTTTAATTTTATATTTATAATTTATATTATATATAATATAAATAATTTAAAAATAATTTTTTTAATTTTAATTTCATATATATTTTATTTATAATTATTTAATATATATTTAAAAAACTAATTAATTATTTAAAAATTAATCAATTATTTTAAAAATAACTGGTTCTCATAAAAAACTAATCGATTATTTCAAAATAATCGATTAGTTAAAATATATATATATATATATATATATATTATAGAAATAAAAATAAGTTATACTTTGGAGATATATATATATATATATATATATATATATATATATATATATTAAAATATAATTTATTTTTAAATTGATAATTTTTATTTTTATTTATGTAATATATGTAATTTTATTTTATGTAATATATATATATATATATATAATTTATATAATTTATATAATTTATTTAACATTAAAAATAGTTATTTTTTTATTAATTTTATAATTATAATTTTTTTAAGGTTATAATTTTAAATATAATTTTTTTAACTTTATATTTATAATTTATATAATATATATAATTTAAAAATAATTATTATTTTTAATTTTGAGTTAATATATTTTTTTATTTATAATTATTTAATATATATTTGAAATACTAATTGATTATTTAAAATTTATTCAATTATTTAAAAAAATAACTTATTCTCATTAAGTATGAAAAACTCAAGTATGAGAAAACTAATCGATTATTTTTTGAAATAATCGATTAGTTTTTAAAATAGTTAAAAATTAATATATATATATATATATATATATATATATATATATATATTAACTTTTTAAAAGTAACATATATCATAGCGGTTCCACCTTAACCGCTATCTAAAATAAGTGTGGAAAAACTAATTGATTACTTTTTGAAATAATCGATTAGTTTTTAAAAAAAATAAAATATATATATATATATATATATATATTTATATTATAGAAATAAAAATAAGTTATACTTTGGAGAATATATATATATATATATATATATATATATATATTAAAATATAATTTATTTTTAAGTTGATAATTTTTATTTTTATTTATGTAAATTTTATATATAAAATTAATTTAGAGTTCATATATATAATTTTAATTTATGTAATATATATAAATATATATATATATATATATATATATATATAATTTATATAATATATATAATTTATTTAACATTAAAAATAGTTATATTTTTATTAATTTAATAATTATAAATTTTTAAGGTTATAATTTTAAATATAATTTTTTTAACTTTATATTTATAATTTATATAATATATATAATTTAAAAATAATTATTTTTTTTAATTTTGAGTTGATATATTTTTTTATTTATAATTATTTAATATATATTTGAAATACTAATTTATTATTTAAAAATTAATCAATTATTTAAAAAAATAAATGATTCTCATCAAGCATTAAAAAATCAAGTATGAGAAAACTAACCGATTACTTTTTGAAATAATCGATTAGTTTTAAAAATAGTTACAAATTAAAAAAAAAAAATATATATATATATATATATATATATATATATATATATATATATATATATATATATATATATATATATATATATATATATATATATATATGTATAATACGATATAGTGGGTTCCATTTTAACCGTTCCTAAAAGTGACACATATGATAGCGGTTTCACGTTAACCGCTATCTTAAATATGTGTGGAAGAACTAATCGATTACTTTTTGAAATAATCAATTTGTTTTTGGAATAGTTAAAATATATATATATATATATATATATATATATATATATTATAAAAATGAAAATAAGTTATACTTTAGAGAATAAATATATATATATATATATATATATATATATATTAAAATATAATTTATTTTTAAGTTGATAATTTTTATTTATGTAAATTTTATATATAAAATTAATTTAGAGTTCATATTTATAATTTTAATTTAAGTAATATATATATATATATATATAATTTATATAATATATATAATTTATTTAACATTAAAAATAGTTATATTTTTATTAATTTTATAATCATTATTTTTTTAAGGTTATAATTTTAAATATAATTTTTTTAACTTTATATTTATAATTTATATGGTATATATGATATATATAATTTAAAAATAATTATTTTTTTTAATTTTAATTTCATATATATTTTATTTATAATTATTTAATATATATTTAAAAACAAATTGATTATTTAAAAATTAATCAATTATATAAAAAAATAACTGGTTCTCATAAAAAAACTAATCGATTAGTTAAAAAAATATATTATATATATATATATATATATATATATATTTTATATTATAGAAATAAAAATATTTATACTTTTGAGAATATATATATATATATATATATATATATATATATTAAAATATAATTTATTTTTAAGTTGATAATTTTTATTTTTATT